AATAATAAGCGCCCACAGGCGAGTGTGGACAGGCGCCCAGGATTAACCAGGAGGAGGCCCTGAGAGGTCAGGCGGCTCGCCCACGGTCACATGAAAAAGGTGGAACGAGAGCGATGTCTCCGCCAGCCCCGCAGCAGTCAGGGGGTGCGGGAAAGCTCCCTCCTCCACGGTCATTAGCATCAGGTTCTCACGGGGCCCATTTCATTAATATACAGGGTGAGGAAAAGTAGGTTTACAGTTGTTCATATGCAAAATATAGTCATTAATAACGATACAAGAGTAAATGGCTTCACATACTCACAACTGTAAACCTACTTTTGCCCCACACTATACTACCTAAAACTTGTAGAAAATGGACAGTAACAGTAATTTTTTTAATTTGGTGGGGGAGAGCCCAATGTAAGGTCACCTACATAGTAATTTTTGCAAAATTTTCACCCTGAATCAACCATGCCTCTAGCCCCACCTCCCAGTTTAGAAGAAATAAGGGGGTAGGGGAGAAGGTTGTGGAACAAATCAAATACCACCATAAGGACACAGACAAATTCAGACCACAGAACACTTGACAGACAACTGGCCTAGACTCTTTAAAAGGGGGTGATATGGAGGGGAAAAATGGGGACTGTTTATTATTGAGGCCAGAGAGATGCAACAAACAAATGCACCACATGAACTAGACTGGATCCTGGTTGAGGGAGGTGGAGGGACTAGCTCTAAAAGATATTTTAGGGACAACTTGGGGAAGTTAAATGTGGCTGCATATTGGATGATATGGCAGAATGGCTGTTGTAAGTGGTTATTACAAAGGAGACCGTCATTCCCAGGAGAGATTTAGGGTGAACTGGCATGCTGTCTGCAACTTTACTTTTAAGCAGTTCAAAAAAGTACATATGCACCCCACACAAAGTGCATATACAGAGAGTGTGGGGGAACCCTAGCCTCCCCACCTCGATCTAAGCACTGCACCCCTCGATTCTCCCAAGTCTTATCAATAATAGTTCAAAGCCCTGGACTTGAGACCTTGAAGTATCCTGGAGTGGTCCCCGTACCTAGTGACACACAACATATATAGGCCCCCAGACCCAAGAAGATGCAAGTGGGGACGCTGCCTTCTCAGGGCAGATGACAACACGGGCTACCACAACCAGGAGAGCCTACAGTCTTTCCTTTTGCTGAAGAGCTCAGTGAGGCCTCCGAGAGGTGCCCGAAGCAAAAGGCTGGAGGTGACCCCCTAACACAGAGCCTGCCAGACCTCAGGGAAGGTCAGTGTGGCAAGCAAGGGGCAGGTGCAGAAGGACCCCTTTCATCCCCAGCTCTGCACTGACACCCAGGGGGTGGGGGGTGGGGATGATGCGCCAAGACGGCTGCAAGCTGGCTCACACCCCTGCCCTGATCTCTCAGGATTTTAAAGGCTTTGTACTAATTCCTGGAACAAGTTCAAGGTGTGGCTGGGATTGACATCATAATCAAACAGAGCCAGAGATGTTGAAACCTCACTCAAGGAAACCTCACTCAGGGAAAACCTAGTTGAAAGCAAAGTGCAGGTCAAGGTCAAAGGGGGGAGGAGGAAAAGGTGGGAGCAGGAGAAGGTGAAAGAAGCAGGCATGGCACAGACCGCCCGCCCGCTGCAAGCAGAAGCTCTGGGAAGCAGGAAAGCCACAGAAGTCCCACCCCCGGGCCCGGGACCTGTGCCAGGGGAGATGTGCAGTGAAGGAAGGAGACTCTGCAGCCCACACTGCCCCTGACATATTTTTGTGGCCTCAGCCCAGCCCGTGGGAAACAGCCTCCACAGGAGTGATGTGACATCTGACAGCTGCAGTCGGCGCGCATGCTCAGGCTTGCAGAGGCGCACATCTGTGTCCCCTTCACTGTCTCCCTGCCAATTCTGAGTATTTTATGGGATGAAGCAGGTGTCTGAGAACAGCAGGCCCCTCTTCCCCGGGGTACCCGTGTGAAATGAGGAAGAGCGATGGCCTGCCACTGCCCACAGTTCGGAGGCTTACACTTTCTTCCTCTGAGCTAGACCTGCAGCAGTCTTAGCTTCCTCAAAATAAAGGGCCCCCTCCTCACAAGCACAGACCGTGGTTGGTCTCTAGGTCCCAGGCACCGGCGGCATCCAGTGCAACGGAGTTACCCAGTACTCGTCAGGTGGTCGGCAAAGAGCAAAGAAGCATACAGAACGCACACACAATACTATAAACCAGAAATGTCAGAAAATCTACCTTAGCAATCATGAAAGCTGAACATGAAAAACTTTTTCTCCTGCTGCTCTAAGCCTAAGTGCTGAACTGCCCCCCAAGCACCACCCTCCCCCCCAAAAAAACACCAACAACCATAAAACAAACACATGCACAGGCCACCTGCAATCCATGGCCGACACTGGGAATAAACTCCACTCTTGGCCAGTCAGCAGTTCCCTCCTGTACGGTCCCCCTACCCCCACCCTCCCCACCTAACAAACCTTGGCCCCAATTGCTTTCTCTGTTTATTTGATCCTGTTGTGACCAGGAAGTAAAATACTCAAGACTGTTAAAATGATCATTCACAGCTTATGGTAAGTGTCTATGTTAGCATTTAGCAAAACTAAAAGGCTTTTCATGTTATTCGTGCACGATAACTCCCCAAACATGTTTCAGGAAGTTTATAATTCATGAAAGCACAATAGGTCCATTAAAATAGTGGCCAATGCCATCCACAGGACACCTTAGGAAGAGCCTCCTCTGGTTTTCACAAAAGGAAACCAAGCCTGAGAACTCACCTGCCCAGGCCCCTCTAACCTCTCATGCTTGCTTGTTCCACTCCCCCGCGTATGAAGGAGAAGAAATCATCATTTGCCACACTGTGTAAACTCGTGGTTTACACGGGGAACTGTAGGTTCTGACTGCCCATGGGATCACAGTTTGTCATTAAAATATCCAACAACTTGATGTCACCGGCACTGGCAATGCGGCTGACCATGCTGACTTTGGCCTGAGTTGCACACCGTGCATATTATACCACAATATCGATATCTTCATTCCTTCTTCCTATCAACCAACAATTCTCAACTATAGGCACTGCCCAAATTTACAGACAGTTTCTGCTATAAGCTCCTTGATGAATCAGCTGTTTAGAGAAAAAAATAAAAATAAAACTTTCCCCAGAGAACCAGTGCCCTATGTACAAAGTAAGGCTCCGGAGTCAGCCAACAAAAGCTTTTTAGTCCACTTTGGACTCGGAATACAGAACCTTAAATGCATATCAAAAGAATGAAAGCTGTTGCCAGCCAAATTTAACTACCTGGACTTGTTTTCTCTTGCTCCAACCCCCCCACCACACTCGTCTTGTATACTTGTTTCGTCTGTCTCCTTTCGTTCATCCTCTTTATATGTCCAAACCATCTCAACATACCTTTCTCAATCCTCGGCACTACATCTTCTTTCACTCCACAACGTTCCCTAAAATTAACTTAATAAACTTTACTTAAAGTTTTAAGTCAACTTTGCACTGTACATGCGCACCCACACGTGGTATTTTGTGCAAGAGCCACATGTGGCTCGCAAGCCGCGGTTTACCGACCACTGCTCTAGGTCAATGGCACCCTGACCTTCCTCTCAGCGTCCCCTAAGGACCTTCCCTTCTGAGGTAGGGGATTTGCTCAGCATGGTGGCCACAGGCAGTCAGTCCTGCAGGGGCTGGGTTTTGAGAACTACAAGAGCTGGCCAGCCCCACAGCCTTCAGACCACATGGCTCCCTCCCGTCAGCGGACCTGCAAGGAAACGGCCACTTCCCTTCCCAGGCGCTGCCTGTGCCACCACCTGGAACACCCTAACACTGCTCCTGAGTCTCCCATACGCTCAAGGTCCCTGTGGATTCTGACTCATTGGAATACAGTCCACGACTCCCAGGCTGCCGTTGTACTATCGCCCTCTTTCCCCCAGAAGGCAGGGCAAAGCCCTTCCCCAGAGTCTCTCATAGAGCAAGAGACAGAACCAGAACTCAGAAGCTTACTCCCTACCCTTCCCAAGAACAGTCTGTCCCTGCAGGCGCCACCCCGTGAGCAGAGCCTCCGGGTAGAGGAAGAGGCTGCAGTGTGAAGAGAGCCAAAGAGGGGGCCGGAGAGAACAGCAAGCCCGCAGGAGGCGGCGGGAGAGAGGGGCTCTCCTCCGTCCTCAGCCAGCTCCTCGCCCGTTTAAGCTGGGAGCAGGGAAGCAAAGGCGAACAATCAGAGCCCTGGTATCAAGGAAGGGAGCATGATCCAACAGGAAAAGACAAAAACAAAAAAGGACACAGTGGAAGAAGAGCCACATTAGAAGAATGAACACAAGATGCATGCGTGGGAATTGAGAGAACAAAGGAGGCTTCGAGGAGTCGGGGTGCTTCAGCAAGGAGAGGAGCAAGCCAGACTGGAAGGATGAGCAGGGTGCATGGGGTGCTGGGGCACACAAGCACAGCAGGGTGAAATAGCAGGTGGTTCAAGGAGGTCACCCCAGGGAGAGCCAGAGAAGGCGACAGCAGGGATCAGAGGCATGGCTGGAAAGGCAGGGGACAGAGAGCAAGGGAGAAGCTTCAAAAGTGGGCACATCCTGGTTTTAAGACAGGGATTGGGGCTGCAGCCTGGCAGCTCCGAGGAAGATGCCAATGTTGGGAAGAAGGCTCAGGGGGCTGGTGCACAGAGTGGGGCAAGGAGAATGGCCCTGGGGGCATGGAAACCAACTGGGAATCTAGTGCAACAGCCCAGGTCTGACTACAGGAACGTGGCAGGACGGGCACTGGAGAGCTTGCCCTGCAGCTGGAGGGATGGAAGGAGCTGAGAGCATCAGACTTTCCAGCGTGCACGGCCAGGTGGGGGGTGGTGCCATCCACCAAGAGAAGAAACACGGTGCAGGGTAGGCGGGGGCAGGGCTCACGACAACAACACCCACCCGCCAGTCAGTCCTTCTAAGCTGCCTAGGTAAACGGTGTGGTTCGATGCCTTCCTTACAGGGGCTTCGGGATCCCATTTAGTACTCCAATCTCACCTGCACCCAAATGTCGTCTGCAGCAGAGTTGTGATTCCCACACAGAAGAAAATGGTCCCAATGAGCTGGCTGGTGGCCCACTGATCGTACCCCACACACATGGCGTCGGCCAGCAGAAAGGGCACCGCGATGGTGCCGCTGAAGCAAGTCAGATAGTGCTGTGGGTGACAGGGAGACAGAGGAAAGA